GTATTTTCTCTGTTTCTCTGGTATTCGTTATTGAAGCTAAAGAAGAAATTTTGGTTTGTTCCTCCATTGCAGTTGGTACTTTATTAGGAGCAATGACTGGAGCTCTAATCGGGCAAGAGACCGAAAGTGGGTTTGTTAGAGGGGCTGCTGTTGGTGCCATCTCTGGTGCTGTTTTCTCAATCGAGGTCTTTGAGTCTTCCCTGCTTTTATGGCAATCAGATGAATCTGGTGTTGGGTGCATATTGTATTTGGTGAGCAACGGGCTTTACCCGATAGATCATCCCGTTTAGATTAGTTGTATGGTCTAATTAATGGTTGAACTGCTTAATTGAAACTTTATTTACACATTCATGATTAATATTTTGAAATTGTGTAGATTGATGTGATTGTGAGCCTTTTAAGCGGTAGACTCGTCCGGGAGCGCATTGGTCCAGCTATGCTTAGTGCTGTGCAAAGTCAGGTATGATTTTATTTGATTGACAAAGTATAGGGATTAAACAGAAATTTATTTTGGAGATGTTCTGAACAATTTTCATTTTTCTTGAATCAGATGGGAGCTGTGGAAACAACGACCTTTGAAGAGGTCGCAAACATTTTTGACACAGGTGGATCTAAGGGTTTGGCTGGAGACACAGTCGAAAGGATCCCAAAGATTACAATTGGTAAAGATGAAAATGTTGATGCTTCTGGGGAGAGAGTCTCTTGTTCAGTCTGTCTCCAGGTACTATTAATCACAAATAATCTTGTTTCCTTCAATGATCAGTTGCAAAGAAATCTCATGGTAGTGTCTTCTAAACATTCAGGACTTCCAGGTCGGGGAAATTGTTCGATGTTTGCCTCAGTGCCACCACATGTTTCACCTACCTTGCATTGATACCTGGCTGCTTAGACATGGATCTTGCCCAATGTGCAGGAGGGACTTGTAATCTTCACTTCTCTGTAAATTATATATACATAAAATGCTACTTTGATTTCATCATACCTACATCTAGGGTTTCTTTATTTGTTAGATATACCCGCAATTACACAAATTTTCCACGTAGCTATATGTAATTTAGATTTGAGCTTGAGTAATTGAGTTTATTCATTGTACTTGGATCACATTCTGTATAGTGAATTTTGGGATATTAGAGGGATTTTTATTCTTATAAGATATCATGATATTAGTTCTACTTAATTTTGTTTCCTTCATAAAGTGGAAAGCAATTCTCATTTAAATGATTTCGTAGGAAGATTTTGTGAGATTTTCGATCCTAGAGAGTGGCTTTAGAATGTGGAACTTGTGTATTGAGCGACTGTCCTGGATCAGCCACGATGTAATCTGTGATGGTTTGAGATAAATTGAAAAATGAAAATGGGGTTTTAGGTGTTTAAAATATTAGAGGCTGGAAAGATAGTTTTTATTGCAGGGAGAAGGCCCCCCGTGGAATTCATTAGAGACAAGTTCAAACCTACATAGAACCCAAAGGATCGTAGGACCTAGGTAAAGTCTAGATAAATGGTCACATTTCTTACACAATAACAAGCATGATTATAACAAAATGGCAGCTGATGATGGATTCAGAGCTGTTGAAATTCATATTTAGTGAGAGGTTCAAACTCACAATGGAACCTAACACGAACATATTCAATCCTATGTTATGAAAAATTCACGTATGATAATAAGGTTCGGTTTTGAGGGGGACCTGGTGAGAGTTTGGATAAATGGTCGCATTTCGATCTTGGGTTTATTTAAGAGTATGCATCAGAGCTGTTTAAACTCATATTTAGAGAGAGGTTCAAACAGAATTGGAACCTAACATTCATTACTACGTTATGAAAACTTCATGTGTTATAAGAAGGTTTGATTTTGAGGATGACTTGGTAAGAGTTTGAATAAATGTTCACATTTCTTTTGAAAGAACACGTGATTCTAACAATGTGACAACTGATTATGCATTACTTGTGGTTTATGAATCGAACAGTCGAAATTCATATTTACTCAAGGTAAAGGTCTCATGTATACTTAGAAAAAGGTATTATGCCACTTTTATATCCCACCCTATTCACATGTAGATGACATTTTGTGAAATGAAGGGACAGTGAAGGCGCATCATACGTTTAAAGTCAAAAACAATAATAACGTTCACACAAAAAATGAGCAACGCGTAATAGAAAATTCACGGACTAACTTTTTTTTGTGGAAAAAAAAGGCTAGAAATGTCTTGTACGCGGACGGAGAAAAGTCAACTTGACATGCACCACCGGTTTTTATGTCGTGTACGAAGTTAGAAAAATTGACAAGAAATGGCTTTCGTGGGAAAATTGAAACATTCATTCTTCCTTGACTCTTTAACCAGCCTTTGAAGTTTGAACAAAGAAAAGCTGTGTGATAAACAAAGGGTTAATTAATTTCAAATTTCACCATACTTGTCGGTAGATTACTGAACTTTGATTTGGTGTGCAATTTAGTGTCCCTCTTTGGATTGTGTCAATGAACCTACAAGAATTAGTTGACATGCTCATCAAAATTAACGATGCGTCAATGTGTCTGCTCATTTCTCATATTTCGCTATTTCCAGTTGCCTTTTGAATATCAAGTTAATTGCACTAGAGGTCATTGAACTTTCGTCATAGTTGCAATTTGGTAGAATAAGGCATCCCAGGCTCGGATCAACTTTATGCATCGAGCTGTGTGTAAAAAAAAATAAAAAATCGTGGTAGAGTTGGGGTAAAGAGTCGCTCTAAATATAGACAAATTCGAGCATACCAATTTATTTTAGTTTATCGATTGTGTTACACCCAAATCAATAAACTAAAACACATGATTTTCAATGGTATGACTATCTTCCATGTCTTAAGATTCAAACATTAGAAATATCATAGACACGGAGGAAAGAAAAGTATGGAATTATTCATTTCAGCAGGTGTGATTAGAGTTCAAATTGGTCCTTAAAGTATTCTTTAACCCTATTAGCCACCGAGATGATTAACGGTTTCTGACTGAATCTCAATATTTAAAGATATTGGAATTCATTCAGCGGAGACCAATTTGGATACACGAATAATCCAACAAACAGTTGATAACTTAATTAAGACAATAGAAGACAGGCAGACAGAAAAGAATGTATGTGTTAAGCTCCTAGTCGTTGATAACAAAATCAAGAGTAAACAGGTTCCCGGCCGGTTGGTTTTGGTCCAAGTCTGACCCTACTTCTACTTGGTCGGTTTTGGATTATTCTGAAGTCAAACCGATCATTAATTGATCCAACTCGAAACCGGTCGTCTCGTTGACAATTTAAGCCCTAGTTGCTTCATCTTAGATGGTTTAAGTCGTAGTTATCAGAGACCCATTGTCCGGGACTATGAAGGTTTGGCTCGATCAAGTCATCGGACAACAACAAACTGTTCAGCCTGATCAAAGCTTCAAACCAGACAATGAAGCTAGCAATTTTACTAAAATATTGATGAGTAACCTATTAATCCGATGCTTTGATCGCTTCAACTGTGTTATTTATTTTGACCATTTTATCTGTTAATTATTAGAAAGAATTTTAATTGCGAAAAATAAGGTCAGGCTCTGCCAACTTTCAGGGAGTATGACTTGGTTTCCATTCTATTAATACGGTTGTGATGTACGGAAATCGTCAATGTACCAACAATCGCCTATATCCATTTTTCAACTTTTTTTCCCCTAAAAGTTTACTGTACGGTGATACATAGTTAATTATTGTGTTCAAATTTTAATTACTGGGTTGAAAAGTTACAGAGAAAATCATTGTAAGGTATGGTTATGCAATCAAAATAATGAAAAAATAATACTAAAAATTGATAAATTATCGTGAATAATATTTGGACAATTGTTTTTATATTTACATAAGGTTAATAATATTCTTGTAGAATGTAGAATTCTTGTTTTTCTTTGAACAAGTGTTTTTTTGATTTAATTTCACATAATAAGAATAACAACAAAATGAAAATCGTGAATTTGGTAACTATCGCGCACTCCAACACATGTAAGTGTCTTAAATTGAGTTTCCTTCCAGTACACAGTTCAAAAAGAGTTTTTGGAACTGTCTTACTAGGAAACTACGTCTTTTAAGAAATTTAGAGATTGGACCATGGCATTGTCCAGTTTCATCATACTTTCCATAACATTTACTACCTTTATTAGATTTAATAATTTTCACATTTTTGTCTAATTGTCATTCAACTTTATTGACAAAGATCTTTAAAATATTTACAGTTTGAGACTTTTCATGCAGCAAATAGACATAATCATAACATGAAAAGTCATTAATAAAGGTGATAAAATACTTCACTTAATGGTGGAATATTAAAAGGCCCTAAATATTGCTGTGCATTATCTCAAGAAGTTGTGTGCTTCTTGTGGCTCATTTCTTTGTGTGCTTGATTTGTTTACCCTTAATACAATCCATACAAGTTCCAAGATTACTAAAATTCAAGTGAGGAAGGATTCATTCTTTACTAATACTTCGATCATTTCTTTGGATATGTGACCAAAATGTTTATGCCACAAGTTAGAAAATTGTTTATTCAACAAAGCACATTTAGTACCAACATTATGATACAAGGTTAAAAGAGTCTCGATAAAGAGGTTATTGAGCTTTAATTTATATGAGCTATCATAAAGAATAGTGAACCCATAAGATGCTTTTGTTTAAACAACTTAATCATTTATTTCCATTGTTACAGAAATATCCAATATAGTCAAGTTTCGAAAAGAAAACTAAATTACGAGAAATAGAAAGTACATAAAGAGTGAAAAATATAAAAGCTCAAGACTAGCTAACCAAGAGAGGGGGTGAATTGGTTGTACCAACTTTTTTGAAAACTAATTCTAAGAATACAACAAATGCTTA